AATCTTGGAGCCGCCAACCCCCGAGCAAATGGCGGCGGGGGCCGCACGGTCGTCGGCCCGAAGCCTGAGGCCAAGGGCGGACTCTGCGGGGCCGGGAACCTCCCCGCAGCAGGGGGAACTTGGCGCCGAGGGGGGCCGGTGGCTCAGGGAACCCAGATCCGTGGGTTTGGATTTCTCTCACTCGGGGTGAGAGGAGTTTGGGGGTGCGCGCTCAGCGGCGCGACTCGGTGTTCTGGGGAGGCAGGACAGGCTTGCACTGGGTCCAGAGCTCCCGCGGACCCGGGATCCTGAAGCGAGCGCCCCAACAGCCTGAAGACCACAGCTCACGCCAGGCCGGGGGTCTCCGAGCGTGTGTGAAGGGACGGGTGGACGTCCGGACCGCTCCAATCAGGACTCCTGTCTGCGTGCTTCCTTGGGCGCGCCAGGCAGCTCAGTGCCAAGGCTCAAGTTGGGGAGAAGAGAGCGGCGCGCGCCGCGGGGATCCACGCCCAGACCGAGGGTGCCGCGGCGCCTTTACTGCGAGGAGCCAGCGCCGGGAGCCGCACCCAGCACCCACCCAGCGAAGCCGGGAAGGGGCGCCAGGATCCTCGCGGGGCCGAACTTTGAGGGGCTTCCGGGTCCCGCGCCCCTGCGCGCTCTCGGGCGGCGTAGGCCGGGACGCAGCGAGCGCAGCAGAGAAATCGCAACGCGGAAGAGCAGTCGCCGCGCGGCCCGCCGCGCGCCCCAACTCAGGGGCGAGGAAGCTGCCGGGGAAGTGGGGGGCAGCTGGGGGGGGCTCTCCGCCGCCTCTGGCCAAGGGCAGAAGTAAAGGGGACCGAGCTCACTTCCCCCCGAGGGAGTGAGGGTTCCGCCGCGCGCTCCTCAGGACGGGGAAATAAGTCCTCAAGCGCCCGCGGCACCCCAACCTCACCCCACCCCGGCCTGAAGATGCTGGGAAAGTGCGTTGGAGGCAGGGAGGTAGAGTCCTTGCCTGAGCGGCTGTTTGCACAAAACGAAACCCAACTCCCGAAAATGTCAAGAAAGAAAAAAAATTTTTTTAAATCTCCGTTCCCCCCCCCCCTTCACTTTAAACAAACCGGCTGCTGGGAGAAAGATTAAAAACGAAATGAATTATATAGCTAAGGACACTATTTTTTCAAGTTGTGAAAGCCCTCCTTAAAATCCTGTTCCAAAGGCCGGCCACGAATGGCCAGTCTTTCCACAGCCTTAGCCTCTTCCTGAAGAGCACAACAAAACAGTCGAAAATGCGGCCACCTTCCTGGGAAGGAGTGACCATGAGGCAGGCCCAGGAACCCACTTCGGCCCAAACTACCATGCTTTTTTCTCTCTTCAACCAAAATAATAATAATAATAATAAATAAAAAATAAAAAATAAAATAAAAAAGATAAGAAGAAGTAAAACCTTTTAATACATCAAATATACGGAATTTTAATCTTTAAAGCGATACATTGTCTATTATTTTAGTACATGACGTAAACCTTACTTGTCCCCTTCTCAGCGGGTGGACTTAAAAATTAAAAATAGTTAAGTGTTCCTTTTAAAGAACAAAATAAGGCAAATGAGGTTTTGGAATAGAATTGTTTTTCCTTTTTTTTTTGTTTTCTTCCAGAATACATACAAAAAAATACCCATTCTCTTTCGATGGTATACACCTTAAAAATAATTGCAATTTGAAATCAGAGCTGACAAATTGTGACTTGTTTTGTTGCTTTTTTTCATTTTTTGTAACAAACATGCATGTAAATTTGTGTTTCAATCAGACATTAAATAAGAACGTACAATACAATCATAGCAATTTTAAAGTAACATTAAAGAGAAGACCTCTAGTTCTGTGGCGGTTTTGTATTTATTTATAATCTACAAGGGACAGGAGGGTTTGTTTTCCACATTTTTACCCTCGAGTTTTATTTTTTTCCCCCTCCTTTCTGCCTACGGAGCTCAAACTAAATAATGCACTTTTGAACCACGGGTCCGCTTGGAGCTAACATAAATAAATACCAGTGTCCACCGACGCAGTCCTCAGTTGAACACCTTCTCAATTATTTTCTTCTTCTTTTTTCTATAAAAAGTCAAATGATATTTTTCCAACTTTTATAAAGTTTGGGTGGGGAGGTGAGAATTGGGGGCAAAAGGAGTTTCCCATCGGGTCTCTGTCGCTCTTTCGGATAGATAGGTACGGTATGTATATTTTCCTTTTCCTGGCCCCGGTCTTCCCCACTCGCAGGGGGACAGTAGCCTCTGCCCCGCGGCCGCCCCTCCTTAGGCTCCTCCCCTCCCCTAGCTCCTTACTCTCCCCGGCTGGCGCTCCCCACCGCCCTCACTGATACCCCAGCGCCGAGGCCGTGGTCAGTCTCTGTCCGTAGAGGGCATAGGGGGAGTAGTAGGGTCCGGTGGCGGCGGGCACTGGCACCGGGGCGCCGGGTGTGGGGAGCGGGCTCTTGGAGTAGGGGTGGTAGCGGCTGCTGAGTCCCAGCGCGTGGTGGGGGCTGCGCAGCGCCAGCGTCCCGGGGCTGCCAGGAGCGCCCGACGTAGGGATGTGCATGTGGCAAGCCATGGCGGCCGCGGCGGCGCTGGCCAGAGACGACGAGCTGGGATAGCCCGACAGCAGTTTGTCTGTCCCGGGGAAGGCCGTATGGGTCCGCAAGTGGCTCAGCAGCTCTTCGGACGTGGCGAAGCGCTTGTCGCACGGCCCGTTGGCCGACACCCAGTTGCAGATGTGGGGGAGCGGGTCGTTAGGGAGCATGAAGCCGTAAGGGTAGAGGGGATGACCGGCCAGGGAGGGCGGGGTGGCGCCGGCCGCGGCGGCGGCCGTTAGTGACGAGTGAACGCCGTGCAGCGGGTGGGTGGGGTACACCAGCGGGTATCCGGACTTGAGCGCCGCGGCTGCGGCGGCCGGGTCGTGTGCGCAAGATGCACTGGCTGCCGCCGCCCCTGCCAGATGACTGGCGCAGTGGTAGCTGAGACAGTACGGGTCCCGGCACAGACTGGCTGTCATCACCGACGGCGGCGACGCCCCGGCCAAGGGGCTTGAACCCGCCGGCTTGCTGCAGCCCAGAGAACCCGCCGCGGCCGCCGCCAGTTGCGCCCCCACCAGGCTGCCGGGCTTGGTGGGGTCGAGCGCCACGCCGTGCGGCAAGAACTGGGGCGGGTAGCCGGCGTAGGCCCCAGCCAGGCTGCCTGGGTAGGTCATGCCCGCAGGAGGCAGAGGAAACACTGTCTGGCCCGGTTTGTAGGGCGATACTGGCGCCACCAGCCCAGAGCCCAGCACCGAGGAGGAGGTGGGCGCTCCCGGGCCCGAACCGGAGCTGGAGCCCGTCGAGCCGCCGCAGTCTGAGCCAAGAGCTTTGCCCCCAGGGCCCCCATCTGGGTGCTGGTTCACGTCCACATTAATCCCGCCGCCGCAGCTAATCCGGCCGTGCGCCAGCCCCGTGGGTCCCCCTTCGGCCGAGGTGCCCCCAGAACTCTTGCTGCCGCCGCCGCCTCCACCCGCGTCTGGGTCCTTCTTGTCGTCCTTGCCCTCTGGGCCACCCCCGGCCGAAGGCAGCATGCTTCCTGGCGAGCAGGCCGAGGCGCTGGAGCTTGGGCTGCCTGTCCTGGGCGTAAATGGCTGGCAGGTGGCGCTCGGTACCCGGAATCCGGACTTCTCTGCTGAAACCCCCCCGCCGCCGCCACCGCCGCCACCGCCTCCGCCGCCGCCGCCTCCCGGCTCCTTCTTATCCGAGCCAGGTTTGGAGTACGGCTTGAAGCTAGACTTGTCCTCCACGCCGATATCACTCAGCTTGAGGGGGCCCGACTTGGCGTCCTTGTCGCCCCCGGCGCCACCGCCGGCACCACCCGCACCGCCCCCATTGGAGGCGACCGAGGAGAGTTTGGAGGAGGGCGAGGGGTCTGGCTTCCCGATCTGTGAGCATGTTTGCGCCAACAGCGCCAGCGGGCTCTTCTTGGCATCAAGCTGCGGGGTCAGACATGTGTGGGGGCACAAAGAAAAAGAAGGGAAGATCCTTTAGAATCCTGGGTTAGAGGGTTCGAACGCTCCTCCGCAATGGCCCACGAAGATCCTCCCAGCTCCGAGGTGCTTTTTCAGATGGCACTCCCTACACACACGCACACGCGCACGCCTGCACACACGCGCGCACACACACACTCATTCACACACTCACTCAGTCATTCACCTTTGAGAAAGGACTTAGGACCCCCTAAGTCCCTCCCAATCAGGATCTTTTCCGCCTTACCTAAGTGTTAACTGGGTGTTTAAAAACTCACAGAATAATTGGGTTTCTGACCCCTAGACCCAGAACGGTGCCCTCTCCCCCATCCCTAAATTTTTCGTAGTAAGGGCCTGGTGGTTGGCAGTTTCAGAGAACTACGACTTGGGAACTGTATTTTGTACTCCGGTTTGTCTTCCCCGCGGAGTGTGAGGGGACCTGGGCCTGGGTCGGGGTAGGACCTTAATACCAAAGGGCGAAACAAGTTTTGGCTGTCTTTCCCCCTAGCATTCACACCCCAGGCTACCATCCCCCCACCTTCCGCCCTAGTTTTAAGGTGCGGGGGCACTATCCCACTATCCTCCCCCCCAACCCTGGAGCTGAATCATTTTGACTCCCCAGTCCCATCCCCAACGTCCAGAAGAAAGAAATCCCATGGGGCAGCAGCCAGGGGGTAGTCCCAGCTTTATCCTGGGAGAGGGTCCTTACCTCGATGGGGCTGACGGGAGTAGAAGGCAGGGGCTGCAGGTACTCCGGGTGCAAAATGTGGCCAGTCCGTGCAGTCAGCATCTTCAGCACCTTGATGGGCAGGCGGTTAGCCTGGCGGAGAGGGTCAGAGGGGGGCACGGCGTGCACAAAAGGCTTGGTGCTACCGGCCGGGGACGAGCCTGGGCCGGGGCCGGAGCTATTTCCAGAGAGTGCGCTGGTCCAGGCAGGGTCCGCACTACTGCCGCCGCCGCCGCTGCCGCCGCTGTGCTTACTGCTTCTTAGGGCAGAAAGCGAGGGCGCTGTGCTCATGACCCACCCGCGCGCATGGGAGCAGCGGGGGGAGGGCTCCGGGAGGCGCGGGGCGGTCTCGGGGCTGCGCGCTCGCCCCAGGAGTAGGAGCAGCAGCAGGAGGAGGAGGAGCTGGCGCAGCGGCCACCAGCGCCCAGAACACCTTCTCGGCGCCTGGACTCAGAAGCGAATAATCCTGGGTGGCCCGCGGAGGAGCCGTGACCGAGCGGGAGGAGCCGACCCGACTGCGGGAGTGACGGATCGCTCGCGATGTCCGCCTCGGGCTGCGCCCTGCGCTGCGCACTTGCGGCCCGGCGCCGGCGCTGAGCTCTGCGATGCGAGCCGCTGCCTGTCCAGCCCGTGCTCTGGCGAGGAAACTCACTTCAAAAGCAGCTGCACCGAGGGGGAGATTAAAGCCTTTGCCGCCTTCCAATCAAATGGGAGCCCGAGGTGATTGGAGGGTCAAGGGGATGTGACGCGTCCCGCGCCGCCGCCGCCGCCGCCGCCAGGACTCTCAGCGCTGGTTTTAATGGGCAGCTCCCTCTTCGCCGCCCCGCTGCGTGTCCCCTCCCTCGATTTCGCTGCGAGGACTAGCTGGACATTTATTTTACGTTTGCTATCTGCCGCCTCCCTCTTTTTTCCCTCCCGGTTGTCCTTTTTCCCAGCTCGAAAATAAACTGAAACCTTTCGCTGGAGGGTGTGCGCGAGGAACAGATTGAGGTGGTGTCCGCGAGGCACACCTGCGGGTGTCTGGACAACAACTGTACGGTCCACTGCAGGGGCGCACAAGGGGGTCCGCACACCAAATATTCTCTCCTTTTCAGTAATTCGAATCTCTTAAGGCACGGCCGCCAGGATACAGAAAGGTTGAGGAGCGGGTGCTGAAGAAGTTCGCCCTCCCGCTTTGATTTCCTAAGATTCGGCAGCGGAGAACCAGAAGCTAGGTGGGCAGCGGAGGCGGTGGCTGCTCTCCTGGGCGCTGCGCGCGGGGCTCTCCGCCCTTCTCCGCCATGTGACGTCCCGCGACGCGCAGATTGGTGCAGGGCCGGGTCACGTGTTTCCTCTGTTTCACACTCGCGTCCCCCCACCCCCATTCTTACTCTCCCCTGCCACCCTCTCCTGTTCTCTCCTCCTCCCCCCATTTCTTTGGGCATCTCCACCCCTCCATCAATTGTCAATGTTCCTCGACCGCAATCAATCAGTTATTTGTCAGCTCTTGTCAATCCGCCCGTGATTTATGTCAGCTTTTGTTGCTGATTACAAGGCGGGTGCGACTTGAAGGGAAAGGGAGAGAGGGAGAGAGACATAGAGGAAAGAAGAGACAGAGGGGGAATTGGAGGAGGGGGAAAGAGGAACAGCCACCGGGGATAGGAGGGGGGCCTCTAAGAAAAAGAATGAAAGAGGGGAAAGAGGCGCTCAGCGTCAGGAAAATGATAGTGAGAGGAAAGTGCGCAGGTGCGCCCCAGGGCACTGAGAGGGGAGCGCAGGCCTAGGGTGAGCCTCTTGCCCCTCTGTGTGGGAGAGAGGGATACACCCTTCCACCTCTGGGGACTTGGGTCCGTTGAGGCTGCGGAGTTCCCAGCAGCTCGGAGTACAAGAGAAGGGAGGAGGTGACATCTAACGCGGGAGATTCCCCTTCACAACACCCCCCCCCCCACCACCACCTTATTCCATCCTGGGCATGTAGTGTGCGATGTCAGGCTGCCAGCTTTCAGCGGACCTCATCCTCTGTAGTGTCCCGACCCTAAACTCGGAGACTACTTTCCAAGAGCCCCACCAACAACGTAACCTTGAATGTTGGAGGTCAATGACGGGGCACTAACCCCTTCCAATTTTCTGACCCCACTAGGATTTTCTGACCTCTTCTTACTAAGAGGCTGCAAAGAAGAGACCTGAGCCTGGGTGTCTGGGGGAGCTGTGTGTCAGGCTCACTCAGGCCTTCTTGCCTAAACCTCCGTCACCCCTGTGCCATCACCGTAGACTCGGTAGCTGGGGTTACTTCAGGTTGTTAGTTTGAATTAACTGGAACGCCGAGCTGGGACTGACCTGCGCTGGGAGAGCAAAGAAAAGGAACGACAGAGGGAGGGGGTGACTGCCTGTGGGAACACGGGTTCTTCCAGGGAAGCAGAGCGGGACTGCCGCGTTCCCCTCGATTTGCACCGTCACTCGGGCTGTTTGAAAGGAAGAGGGGAGGCGCTGTGCATGCTTTCGTGTGCCTGGATCTGGGTGCACAAGTGTGTATTTATGCCCATGCCGCTATGTGCTTTCTCAGAGCTTTGGCAGCGTCTGGAGCGAGTTCGGGGGTCACCTCCAGAAGCTGGAAGGCGGAGAGTAGGAGGACGTGTCCTCTTCCTCGGAATGACTTGGAGGACTTTGAATCTCCCCTCCCCCACTTTTCCTACCCTGTTCTTCTTTTGTTGTCAGTTCCTTTGGATAAATGGTGGGGCAAAGAGCGGCTGTGGGATCCAGGAGCCAGTTTGTACCCGCGCAGGGGGCTGGGGCCGGGCCTGGAGAATATGTTTCCACCGTCGCTTACCCAGTGCTGAGCCCCAAACTCACGGAGTTCTGGTCTGGTATTTACTCTCGGCCGTGTTCACCCTTTTCTCTCTCTCCATCCCCTCACCTCCAGCCCCCCCTTCTCTCATTTTAGTCTGCTTCCTACTCCACGCAGGTAATGAGAACTTTCTGGGGTGAGTTTTAGAATTTTCTCGTAGGCATTCTTTTTCTGCTCTTTAATATAATCCCTTGAGTCTTTAGGTTGGTAAACTTGAGATGGTAACTGGACTAAGCTAATTTGGAAAAGAGAGAATAGGGGAATGAGGCGGTATGCTTTGAGCTGTGTGCTTGTGTGTAGATGTAAGAACCCTTTGGAAACACCTACGTTCAATGGGTTTGGAGAGTTTGCCTGTGCAAAACCTGAGAAAGGTGAGTCAATGAGAGGCCGCAGGCAAGGCTGTGAACGTTGTCTGAATGATCTGCCGGGAGTGAGCTCCAGGTGCCTGTTTCAGAGGGCGGGACTGTCTTAAGCCTTCTCCGCAGGGAAGCGTGTCTGAGGCCGCTGGTACCCTGCGGGTGTGTTAGAGTCTGTGTCTTTGAGTGCGCTCCAGTCAGGTTTTTGCCGGGATCAACTGCTTCCAGAGCCCAGCAGTGGGCCTCATGTCTCTGTGGCTTCCTCGCGAGGCCCAAGCACTGAATTCTGTGGGTGGCAGCCAGGATTGTAGAAGACCGCGGGCGCCTATTCACCCCCTCCCCTCAGTCTCCAGACAGACTTTTCTCTCTCCCGGAATCCTAGCAGCATTCTTCTCATCAGGGCGGCTCAGGGGCTGCACCCCCAGTGCCCAAAGCCTGGGGGAACCCGAGTGTGCTCCACGAAAGGAGTACCACGATGTAGTCACACCGGCTGGAGGGCCCGCGCAGTGCTGCGAGTGCACGGGTGATTGTCCGAGGGCTCTCGCTCTTCTGCAAACCCAACTGGGAAGGTCCGAGCGCACGGGGGCGCCTGGGGGCCTGAGAGCCCAGGGCTCTTGGGAGTCGCCAACATCAGAGCCTGCTCACCTCGCCTGGGAGGCCAAATCTCCAAAGGCCCCCGCGGACTGTAGGGGTGTGTGGGGGGGAGTTATTAATTACCCCGCGACAGGCCTAAAGCCTCCAACCCCCAGCGGCTGTTGGCGTGGATGTCCTGCGGATTTTATTTGCACACAATGGAAATGATTTTTTTTTTCCTACAAAAAAAAAAAAAAGAGTGGGCATGGCAGATATTTGAGGAGGGGGTGGGAGGAGAAGGAAGGGGAGAGAGCTGAGGAAAAAAGTTTGAAAATGCCTTGAACTATTCACTGTCGAGATGGCTAATCAGTATTGAGGCCGGAGGGCAGGCGGGCCGCCTTTCACCGCCGCTTCCCTTTCATCTCGGGCTCGGCGGAGGCGCTCAATTAAAAGCCTATCAGTTTGTAAGTAAATCAACGCCTATCAGAGTTGTCACATCAAACAAAACGATTATTATTGCAGCCCGCCTCCCCTATTAATCTCCCTCGAAGATAATCCGCCTGACAGGTCAGACCCGGCGAGCTGGAAAGCCTGGCCCAGAGCGCCCAAACAGTCCCGGACTGGCGCGCGCCCCTGGGGGCCTCCCCACTGGGTCCCGCCCCGCCTTGTGGTCTCACTGGAGGGGGAGAGAAAGAATGCGCGGAGGCCGCTGGACCCAGGCCCGCCCTTCCCAACTGGGAGCCAGGCCCAGATTCGCGGGACTATTGGGGAGTGGTCCCCGGCGACCGTCACCTCATCTAGGGGCCGCAGAGGTAATCGCCTCGCAGCAGTCAAGCGCTGGCTTGGTCTGGGACACCGCCGCGGCCTGCACTCTTCTGGGCTCCTCCCTGTCTCTCTCTCTTTTCCTCCTCTTCTCTCTCTCTCTCTCTTTAATTCTTCTCCCGCTTCTTCCTTGGCTCCCTAACCTTCCCCCCTTACTCCCTTCTTTTACTCTTTTCATACTTGCCAAGAAATATTTCCCCTTCTCTCTGCCTTTTCACCGTATACCGTATATACCACTTCTGCGCAGCCACACTCCAAAGCAGAGTATTCTCAGGGCCGGGGTTATTTCACTGCGGCAGGGCTGCTTCAGGAGTGTGCGCAATTCCCAGTAATGCATGACAAAATCCTTTCTCATTTCGTCCCAAGCAGAAGCTTGACGCCTGTTGATAGGCCGGGTGCAATTGGATCGTGTGAGAGAAAGAGAAAAAGAGAAAGCCTGGCAGTGAGAAGGGTAGAGGGTGGCAAGAGTCCTGTTCGGGAATTAGTATTTGGTATTGGAATTTCACAGCTGCAGCATCGCGGACTTCGCTGAAAGCTTTGCCTGGGGTTTGCAAATATGCGGAGGATACCCACACGGGATCTGGGCCACAGCCTGGAGTATGTGAGGGGGTGCCTGGCATTTCATAAGTAAATACGCCCAGATAACCGCTTCTATGGCCTCACATTGGTCTTTGGGCAGACTGGGTGGGGCCTGGATTCCTGACCCGCGTGAAATCGTGGCCTTTTCCCCCGGGGCCTCCGGCTTTGCGCTTAGAAGAGCCTCGGAACCAAGCATGACCTGCCTCTTTCCGTGCTCACACTCCATCCAAATCGATAGGCCCAAATGGTGCTTGCCAGGGCCGGGGGGAGTCAGAATTAAGGGATGGTTGAAGTGTGTGAGAAGGAAGAGCTGGTGTACCAACCAGAGGCCCTGATACCCTAAATGCAGGGTTTGGCGCTTGGAGGAGGCTACCTCTCCGCTGGTGTGATGGGGAAAATACTGGCTGCCCCAGCAAAGCCTATCCCAGCAGTCAAGCCCGTGTCCGAGGCTGAGAATAGCAAATGGTCTACCTCAGTGTGCTCAGTCCTAGGAGCTGCTGGTTCGTGGCCCCTAACCCCGGATTCCGAAAGCCTCTCTATTTGTGCGCACATTCCACAGCCCACCTGGTAGGAATATTTTCTCCCACACCCAGAAATACTGTCTCTATGAAGTGGCTCAATAATCTGAGTATTTGTTTTTCTAATAGGTTTATTTCACCTCTGCCATGCCGCAGGTATTTAAAGAGGCACATATATCGCACCCTTCAGCGATGTGAACTCACTCTGGCTATTGGAAATTTTCGCTGAGTGGTTCTTGTGCATAAGTGCGCTCTTCAGCCCATATTATATCCAAGCAGGGATAGTAAAAAGTCTCTTGCTATAGAATTTTTCCAACTTAATTCTGTACACACAGAGAGAATTTAATAGCATTTACTGCCCTTCTATAGGTCTAAATATTCAGATGTTATGTTACATGCCCTTGAAACCAGAACTGATCTTCCTTTCACACCGCACATGAAGCTGTTTCTATAATTGTTATCTCCCTGCACTTACTCGTGATTCTCGATTTAATAAATTCAACCTTGTCATTTTTAGAATCGATGGGATTTCTCTGGCTGAGGTTTGCGTGGCCTGTATCAGAAGTCCAGCTCGCAGGCATCCTGCAGGAAAACGCTCTCGGTTCGCATATACGAAGATGCATCAGCCCACCCCATCACGGGACGACGTGGCTCCTCATGCTTGGGCTGCTGCAGGTCTGGCCCCCAAGCATGGACTATCGGCATCCGCAGGCCTAGAGGTCTCTCGCTGTCCTATAGTGCCAGGCCACCCCCACCCCCACCCCGCGGATGCTTGGGGAACCCGCGGGACCGAGTCCGCCCGCAGCGAAAACTGAAAGCAAATTTTGCAGTAGATGAAGACAGAACTTTCTTCCATGCAAGTTTGCAGTGCAGAGTCGGTGACGGCTTCGGGAGCACCCGGTGCTACTCTGCGAGCGCGGTGGGGTAGTGGATGGAAAGGGCACCGGGAGCCAGAGCCTGGCCAAGCAAAACGCTAGGGAGGGGCCTGGAGGGGGGGCTTCACTTCCTGATTTCTCGCCAAATCCTTGATCCCAATTAAAAAAAAAACAAAACAGTTGCCAAGATGCCGTATCCGCCTAGGGTGTATTCGTAGGGATCACACCAGAGAGGAGACAGCTTTGTCAAAGTTATAGAAAGCTTTGCTCCCGCAAGGCTCATGAAAGCTTGGGACGAGTTCGCCTTCCCAGGAGCCGAATAGCCAGAAATTGGCCTAGGGAGCTCCCTGTTCACTCTTCTCACCTCACTTCGAACCCGCTTGTAAATAACCTCCCGGCCAGCCGCCTGAGCTGCAAACTTCCCCGCGCTGTGCGGCGATCCATGGGCAAGGCGGGGACGCTGGACCGCTCCTCCGCGCGCACTCTGCTCAGGCCACGAGTGGCTTTGCTTAGAGGTGAGACCACTACTGTGGTTCCAGTTCCCACTTGGCAGCCCCGATCGTCACCACTGACCTCCCAACTCCGGGGAATCTGCCCCTGGGATCCGCAGTCCTGGGGGGCTAGTGGGGGCTCAAAGTGTGCGGCTGAGTGGGTGGGAGGGGGGTGGCAGCCGCCGGTCTCTCCGCGGGACCTGTCGCCAGGCCGGCCGCGGCGGGTGAGTGATGAGGGCAGAGAAGGGCGCCCATAAATCGCGGGTGTCAGGGCGAAAAACTCTCTTTATTGTCTGCGTGATGGATGGGCCCGGGGACGAGACACCAAATACTTCGTATCGCCTTTAAATGGGAACACATTTTCCGCGGCCATAATTCATGTTTTTTAAATAGAAAGTTTGAAATGTTGCCTATATTTCACCGGCCCTGACATATTTATGAATCGCTCCCTGCATGCAAATATCATTATTTAAAGCGCCGGGGAGAGCTCAGAGGAGGGGAGGAAGTGCGGCCCCCGGGACGTGGGGGTGGTGAACCCGGGAAATGGTACTGAAGGGGGGGCATATCCCCAAAGTGCCGACAATGAGGCACGGTGGAAAAGCATATCCAGAAGCCCACTGCACTGCCGCCGCCTCCGCCAGACCCCGCAAAGCAACTGGGGGAAGTTTGTACCACGGACAGGCCCCTAACCCTATCCACAAACCAGGGAGCATTTTGTGACTCTCTTTGAGGCCCTTTTCGGAGTCGAAGTCACCTTTTTTCAAGAAAGAAGTTAAAAAAAATAATAACTTAACAAACGCAAATAATAACAATCCAACATGTTTCGTGTCTTTGCACTGCATCGATTTTATTGATTTTCATTCTGCAAACCTGAGATTGTGTACGCCCGGGCGGGGCGACTGTCAGACCCCAGTCACCGAGAGGAGTGGGTGGATGGGTGGGTGAGTGGGTGAGGGGGATAACCCTCGGGTGCCCGGGCCGGGACCCACCCACCCCCACCCAACCAGCTCACCACCTTCCAGCACCACGGAGCCTGCGCAAGACGCGGGACTACAAATAACCCGGTCCGGAGGCTCTGGGGGGCTTCAGCCCCGCCCCCTCTGCTTCCACAGAGTACTGCAGCTCTCTTGGGGTTCGCATCCGCCCTCCCGGATCCCCACTGTCAGTACAGTCGCTTTGGAAAAAAGCCAGGCACCTGCCTTAAGACGCTCCCTAGTCCGTAAGGCCCAGGAGACACCCACACCTGCGCCCTTACTAGCCGAGTCTTTACCTGAGAGGTTCCCCGCGGCGCCTGCCGCCGCGCTGGTTACAGAGAAATGAAAGGGAGGGCGGGGGAGTGGAAGGGACAGAGCGCACTGCCGAAGACAGGCCGATAAGCAGACCCAGGGCCTCCTCTTCGGAGCTGGCGTTGGGGCCCTTGCGGAACTCACTCTAAGAGCCGAACTGAGCCGGGGAAAGGGAGCCTGAGGAGAAGCCGAGGGAACCGGCCTCGCGGGGGCGGGGCGCGCCCCGGAGGCACTTCCGCTGGGGGCGGGGCTGCGGGCTGCGGCGCCGGCCCCGCCCCTCCGCGACGCTTCCCCGCCCCCAGCTCTCCAGACTCCGCCCCCGCCGTTTTGGCGTCTGGAGCTCCGGCGGCTCTGGAGGCAAGCCGCAACCTCAGGGTCTCAGGGGAAGGCAGTGGGCTGCTTCTTTGCCCCCAAATGGGGGTTCTTAGAATTTTTAAAGCACAGGAGCACAAGCATATACACACCAGCTACCTCGGCCTGAAAACTCGCACGTAAGACTCTCAAACTTTGGTCTTTTGGTAACTGAGACCTGCCGATCCCCGATCCCCGGGGCTCTCAAACATTCTCTGGGAATCAACCAGTAGTCCCCTCGGACAGCAGGGAATCCATTTTCGTGTAAACTCTCCCCCACCCCCGTGTCTTTCAGGAGAGCAAAACAAAAAGCTAACAAATTTTTGAGTTTTGACTTTGTGCCAGACACTAAGAACTAAGTATGAATTATGACCTCATAGCAACTATCCGGTAGGTACCGTGAACAACCCGTTTTATAGATAAAGAAATTGTGGCACTGAGGGAAGAAATGGGTCTTGCCTCACTTCTATTTCATCCATATCTTCACCTCTTTTTTAAATCCCCAGCATGCCAAGCCATCACTCCCGCAGGAGGAATCCTGCCTGGCTTTACCACCTTGAGGGGTAGTGTCCGCTCCTTGCTAAGCACCTCCACCTGAGGCTAAGGCCAGCCCGTGCAGAGTGGGCGCAGGATCCACACAGAGAAAGGTATAGTTGTAATGTGCTCAACTCAGTCCCTGGGCAGCTGTGGACCTGATGGGTGAACCTGACCAGTGAGCCTTCCTGGTTGTTTCAATGTAGCCTGTGTAGAAGCCAGAGTGATTATTTATTTATTTATTAAAGCAAATTAGATCATCTTTGCCTTCTGCTTAAAACCGCTAAAGTTTCATTGTTCGTAGGATCAAATTGAGCTCATGGTAGAAGGGTCTCTGGGGCTTGATTTGCCTCAACTCGCCTCTCTGCCTTTGCCTGTCTTCTCTCTCCCTTTTCCCCACCTCCTGTTATCAGAGACTGCTTTTTGATTAGTCACATGTGCCATGCTGCACCCCACCTCAGGGTCTTGCTAATGCTTTTCTTTCTATCTGGAATGAGCTTCTGTTTTTCTCTTTACTTCACTCACTGTTCTTTCAACATTTCAGCTTAAACACCACTCTCCTCTAGCCTCCCACGTGGTACTGGGTTAAGGTTCCTGTAACTCTTTCTCAGAACATTTATCACTGGGGACTTCTGTTGAGAATCTATCCCCTTCACTCAATGGAAATTCCAAGGGGGGTAGAGAATGGAGCTATTCCTTCCAGGAATGAAGAGCATTTATATGTACCATCAACTGTGCTGAGTAAATGAATGATAACTTTGGGAGCTCACTGAAATTTTAGGGGTCTCCAGTAAGTATTCTTTGTTAGTTTCTGTATTGTAAATGTCAAGTAAGTGAATGTTGGGAGGGAGTTAAGAGAGAAGCAGTAGCTATGGTTTTACAGCTGTTTATTCAAAATATTAGATATGTTGGTTACAAAATTAAATTTAAAATTACCCCCCGCCATGAGCACTGTCCCCGTAGTTACACCTGCATGTCCCACAGCTTTACTGGCCCTCTCTCTTTTTCCTTCCTTAACAATTATTACCATCATAGTTGAGTTCTTTATTAACTTATGAAGCAGCTCCTTCAAGAACCTTCTGATTGCTCTCTCCATCCTCAGCCTCTCTTTTTTTCTAACTCGTATACATATTCCTGCCAGATTAATTTTCTTGGTCACATCTTTGCCTATCCCAGAAATCTTCAGTGGTTCTCCATCATCTTCATATTAGTTGGTTCTTCATAAACTGGGTCCAAACTACCTTTAAAAAGCTTCGATTAAGTTGCATTCCAAAATTATAAAAGAGAAATGTTTGTTTCAACCAGCAAAGCACTAAAAGATATATAAACAAAAACAGTATGATGTCTCCATTTCCTTCCTAGACTCTTGAGAAAGCTAGTGTTAAAAACCCGGGGTACTACTTCCATGCTGTCTCCATGCTCACCATGCTTTTGTGAGCTGCACTCATATACTTGGGCCTATTCCTTTTTAATATACAATGATTATATCACAGCTCTGTAGCTTGCAGATTCTTTCATGATAACAAATGTATCTATAGAAACAGAGACAATATATTCATTTTAAAATTATATAGTGGGCCCTCCTTGGTGGCAAAGTGGGTTAAAACACAGCACTATGAAGCTATCTGCAGCCACTGCAGCATGAGTTCGATCTCCTGCCAGGGAGGTGACCCATATGGCTCTGCAGACCTCTCCTGAACTGCCCACTACTACTCTCAGCAGTATGTTTCAGTAGATCTGCCTGTTCTGCTCCCCACTCTATCTCTAGTGAATCCTCTCAACCCCTGCACCTGTGGCCTGTACTTGCGTGCATAAATAAATCTTTAAAAATACTTCTAGAATGGATATATAATAGAATGGATATATAATACTTATTCAGCCATTCCTCTGTTGATGGTCATATAGATTGTTCAGATTTTCCCCAATGATAGAATTGCTTATGAGTATATCCTTGCAACAAGCAATTTTATTTCTATAGGGTAGACTACCAAAAATGCAGCTCTCTATATCCCAGCCAAATCTAATTTCCTTATATGCTCTATGTTTTCCCAGTCCTCTGCCACCTTTCCCTGTAAGACTTATCTTCTGTACTTATGTCCTGCAGTGCCTACATCTGAAACCAGAAATTAGATAAGGTATCCAATATCCATCTCTTCCCCTCTTTCTCACCTGAACATTGTAGCAATGTGTGAGACCCAAGCAGTAGTTCATGATTGGTGTAGTTTTCATCTTTCGCATCTTTGACTGGTGTAAGTTTTCATCCTTACAGTTAGGGATCGTTACATAACATTGTCTTGTCAAATGAGACACATAGAAAAGCACAGCAGAAAGGGCATATTTTGCTTTCCCTGATCAAAAGAGATGATACAGATATTTTGGCTCCTCCTTTCTCCTTTTTTCTCCCTTCCTCCTTCCATGAACTTGGGTCGAGGTTCTGGGCTAAAAAGTGTCTAGACCAAAATAGCAGAGAGAGAC